TTTGTGAATAAAACTTTTTCCACAGTTCACACATGAAAATGGTTTCACCTCCATGTGAATCATCATGTGATGAGTTAAATTCTGTTTTCGACTAAAACTTCGTCCACAGGTCACACATGAAAACGGCTTTTCACCCGTGTGAATCGTCATGTGACGAGTTAAACCTTGTTTTTGTTTAAAAAAATTTCCACAAGTGACACATGAGAAAGGTTTTCTTCTTTCCTGATTTTGGTTCTCAGCTTCAGCAGCTTCCTGGAAGATGACTTGGTTCCTGTTTGGTTCTGATTCAGTTTGGTATGTTTGTTCATAAACAGGAACCAACATGAAGGTATCAGTCTCCTGTTTTAACTCAATATGTTCTTCACCCTGACTGCAGTAAACTTCTTCCTCTTCCACTTTTATCTGCTGGTGTTTTAGATCCTCCTGCTCTTCTTTTATCTGATGATCTTCTGGTTCTTCCTGTTCTTGTTTCACCTGCAGAGGTTCTAACTCCTCCTGCTTACATAGCTCCTCCTTATAAATGTTATGTTGCAGGCAATCTGGACAAGAAAACAGAAAAATAGAAGAATTGTTAACTTTATTAAAGTAAATGGGGGGAAGACTTTCATTGTTTATTACAGAAATTACAAAATGACCAGATTAAAAAAAAATCCCTTTTACTCATTATTAAATTATTCATCTCATAACAGACGCACAAACTAATTTAGGCATTATTGTTAATTAAAAGTACATTTTATAATTTTTAGGTATTTCTTATGTTGAAGGCATTCTTTATTTTTATTTCTCGTTCACTTTATATTTTGGTGGTTTATTCACAGAGTTTATTTATATTATAATTGATTATTTTATTTATCATTTACTTCTCTAAGGTAGACAGAAAGAACTGTGAGTCCATTTTCTATAAGTGTATGAACTGGTACAGGAGCAGCATGCACTGGGTTGGGCCTGTGGTTTTCCACCAGAGCAGGAGAGGAAACCAAAAACAATGACAAGTTTGATCTTTATTTGCTCACCAAATTGGATAATAATAAACCATAAAAAGCACCTTCTAGTTGTTTGAACATTGGATTTCTTTTGCCTGCGTATTACATTGCATTGCTTATTACTCTCTAAAAATATATGCTGTACTGTTTCCATTTGTTCACAACAAGAACCTGTATTATGTTTATTAATTATTTTAAGAATTATTTAATCCTGTATGTCCAAATCTTATTCTGGATATAATATCTTCTTTTTTAATTGTATTACCTTTTTTAAATTCTCCAACTTTTTGAATACTATAATAAAACCTAGCACTACCTCCTGTATCGCATTGCTTTTGCCATTTGTTCTTAATATACATTTTTATAATATGCTTTATCTAATTTTTACTTATAACATTTAAATCAACAATTTTATTTTTTGCAGCACTTTTAGCAAAACTACCAACCGACTCATTTCCTACCACACCAGTGTGGGCAGAAATCAGTACTAGTTCAAACTGAGATCCATAATTTTTAATCCTGAAAACTGAGTGAACCCCTTGATTCTGAAGACACGTGTTAAATACTTATTAACGCTTGAATCTGAACAAATTATAACCGTTTCCTCTCACACTTCTGCATATACTATCAATTTATCTGTTATTATTTTATTTCTCGTGATATATAAATCTGGAATTACAAAAGATATGCCTACTTTAATATTTTACTAATTTCTACACTTAATGAATTTATCGGTTTACTTAAACATTAACCTTCATCCAAACGCTGGTGTTTCCTACCTATCCGGTGTAAAATAATCCGGGGAGTCCGGGAGAAATCCAGCAGTCTGCGCTGATCATCCATCTCTTCCTCCGACTTGACGATGATTTTTTATAAAACTCCGTTAATGTTTCTTCAGCAGCAATTAACCGCTCGTTGATAAACTCGCTTAGAGAAACACTCGAACATTAAACAAAGCAGCGCCTTTGTTCCTTCTTCTTCTTCTTCTTCTTTTTCTTCTTGGTTTTACTGGCGGTTGGCAACAAACAGTAGCATTACCGCCACTTACTGGTAGGAGTGTGGTTCGCGATGGTCTAGTTATCTACCCACCTCTCTCTCTATATATAATATATATATAAAACCATCTTCCTGTTTTTTTCTTCATCCCACCTTTTTTGCCACACTTTCAACAGTTTTTCTTTAACAATACTCTTTCCCTCAGATTTACTTGTTTTAACTATAAAGCTAATATTATTTTTAATTGCCCTCTCGTTTCCTTCTACTCCAATATGTGCTGGAACCCACACAAATATAACTATTAAACCCATGTTTGTATTCTGAATAATGTATGAAATATTTCTAGTAAAATGTCTGTCTTACTATCTGATTACATTTTAAACTTAATAATGCAGAGCTTAAATCTGAACAAATTATTGTTTTTAATGTTTCTATGTCTTCTACCCACTGTAAGGCTAGTAATATTACCAACAATTCTCCTGTGTATACTGATAATCCATCTGTAATTTGTTTTCCTATTTTTATATTGAATTCTACTACAAACACTATTCCTATTTTTTACAGTCATTTTTGATGTATTTATATATATTTGAATATATTGATGATAATTGACTTATCTTGTTTCTTTTCCATTATTGACATATCTACTGTTGCTTCTGATAGAATCCATGGTGGTATAATTGATATTGGTGTTTGATTAATTTCTAAATTATTCATTTTAAATTCTCTTATTTTCTTTTCAATTGTCCATCCAAACCTCCTCATGTCTTTATTTTCCAATATATTTAAATATGTCATTTATCATAATTGAGAACAGTAACAGATGTATAATACTCCCTTGCAGAGTTCCATTTTCTATATTCCTGAGATTACTTCACTAATTCTAACTTGTATTTTTCTATTGTTAAAAAGTCTTTGATCCATTTAAATATTTCCCTTTAATGGCCTACTTGTATAATTTAATTAATAATCGCTCAACCCACATCATATCATATGCCTTTTCTATATCAAAAAATACACTTTCTTTAATTACTTGTGCTATTCTAATTTCATGCTCTAGACCAGTGGTTCTTAACTTTTTTTGAGGTACCGAACCCACCAGTTTCATATGTGCATTCACTGAACCCTTCTGTAGTGATAAATAAAATATGATTTCCCCTCCCCCCAAATTCAAAACATAGAGGTGACCCAACCAGAGCCTAGTTGGGTCACCCCAAGATCACTAAGTCTTCTTAAAAGGTAGAGTCTCTGAGAACAGTTCTTCAAAATATAGTCAGTGTTTTCAGCAAAGTTCAGCTGACTGTCCAGGAACGACCCAAGGTATTTTTATATTTGCCAGTTTCAACAGGTTGACCATCGAGAGAAACTGGAACCACTTTAAGTCTTGTTTAGGTCATTTAATTGCTCTACATTGTTAAGATAATGAAAAAGTATTATAATAAATAATAGACTTTGCAGTATTCTGATTTAGTAATGTAATTATATTAGTTGTGTTACCACCCCCAAACCACTAGAGGCAGTAGCAAGCCCAAAAAGATGCCACTAAGGAGCAGATTTAGAAGTACACCGAAACATACACATTCGGAATAGACATGTTGACGCCTCATGGAGCGCTGAGTCGTACGTAAAAGCGTTCGCCATCTTCTATGTGGCAGCCGGATGAAAGATCAGAAATACTTGACTTTGCAGCCAGAAATTCGCTTCTAAACAACCGGAAAAATATTTCCTATGTAGCTAAATTGGCCCAAAGTAACCGCTGATTGTTAGCTTAGCAGCTAACGTTTTCATACTGTTTTCTAATGAGAGAGCTGATGAGAAACCGCTGTTAGAGGAGAAGTTAATTAAAAACCAGAGGATTTAGTGAGGAAAGATCAGTCAGGATCAGAGCTGGAGCTGCTGTTCTTCAGTCTGCTGTCAATAGCAGAGTTGACCTACTGTAAATCCTCTGGAAAAAAGTAAGAAAAATATGTAGTTTAATGTTTGACAATGACTGATTAATAAATCAAAAGTCTTTTCTCAATAACGTATAAAAATAAATACAGGAAAATATTATTTCTTTTCTTGAAATGTTAAATGTACATTAAATTATGGAATTATGTAAATATATTCTTTAATAAAACACTGTAAAAGTGTGTCTGTTCATCAATGTCATTATAAAAATTATCAGAATAATTTCTATCAAATAAAACATTGTGCTCTTTATTCAGAAATGCCCCCAAAACAATTAAATAATCACATCAAAAGTTAGAAACTCTCTCTTTAGTAATTTCTTTGATTGCCAAATATATTAACGTATCTGAGAAAATGTGTCTTAAGTATTTTAAGTTATGTATTAACTTAAAATACTTTGTAGAACGGCACTTTATAAAGTTTGGTCCATTCACTTGTATTACTTTACTGGCAGATATTCCACATTCAATATGGCGGACGCTGTTACGTATTGCTTCAACGGGCCGGCCCGCTCCATGAGGCGTCTACGTATTAATGTCTATGCACCGAAAGCTACAGAATTTGGTAAAAACAGTGAGCTTTGCTGAAGTAAATAAAGACACAAGTTCAAATCCATGCTGAGAGTGGAGCTCCTTCAATCAGTGCTCCTCCGCAGCTCTGATTGGCTCAGCAATGTAACGTGATCCTCTGCCCCGCTTTAGCCGTTATCACGACTTTACACAAGGGTGTTTTTACCTCCGCGGCAGAGGCTCCGCCGAACCCCTGAGACCGACTCAACGAACCCAGGTTAAGAACCACTGCTCTAGACGTAGTGCATTCATACTCCTCCCTTTTAGAAAACCACTTTGATATTTTGACATGTACCCTTTATTATTTAAATATACTAGTCTATTATTAATAAATTTTTTCTCCAACTGTTTTGCAAATACTATCCACATTTAAAGCCTTATTCTTTTGTTCTTCATTTTTACAAACTTCCAATAGATTTCCATCTCAAAATCTTTACCATTTCAACATCTCCAATTTTCTTTTTTATTTCTCTTGATGCCACATCCATCCATCCATCCATCCATTTTCTTTACACCCTTGTCCTTTAGTGGGATCGGGAGGGGTGCTGGTGCCTCTCCAGCTAATGTTCTGGGCGAGAGGCTCCATTTCCATCCGAACCATTCACATACTAGTTTATGCCCAAATCCGCATTTTCCACGAACGCAGCCAGGCGACACCCCCGCCCCCTCAATTCTTATTCATGAAATTTATTGGCGGTTGGCCAGAAAAGTTAGGTGAGCATTACCGCCACCAACTGGTAAGGAGTGTGAACCACTCGCCAAAATAAAACAAAACAAAGGGAAAAAAAACTCCTATCCTGTATTTCCCTTCTGCCACACACCTGAATTGTATATCTGGATGATTTACAGGCTTCTGCAGTATTTGATGGTCATGCAATCATCTGAATCAGCTGTTCTGGAAGAGAGGCACATCTAAAACATGCTGAGCAGGGGGGCAGTGAAGACCAGGGTTGAGAAACACTGCTATAAAACAACTTTCACTGTTTAAAAAAAATCAAATATAGCTTGCTATCTTCTGATCTTCTGCTTCTTGGATCCTTTTGCAGTGAGTTAACTATGTCAATTTTCATTTTCATGTTACATAAGGTTCCTAATTAACTCGTTTCTCTGAATACAGTAATTCCTACAATGCAAAATAATGTTTTATAGTCTCACCTTCCCCACAGTCACATTTTCCTGTCTGATGTTTCCCTATCAAAGTAATGTTATTCAATCCAGTATGTCTGATTCAAAGTCTGAAATAATCATCTCATGTCTCCTGTTTCTTTCTGTTCTTATTTGCCCAATTCTCTTTTGAATTTTATAAAAAACCACCGTATTTTCCTTTCTTCTACCCATAACTTTTGCCATTCAGGGTTTTGAGTCTGGCAAAATAAGAATTACATTTTTATTGATGACTTGTTTAAAGAGGAGATTCTGGAATCATTTGGTCAGACTCAAGACAAGTATGGGCTAATTTCATCGGACATTAACAGATTTTTGCAGTTAAGAAATGACCTGATGTCCTATCATACAGAATGATCTCTTCCTAAATCATAACCTACCGATTTAAAAGTATTCTTCATAAAGGTCACTAAAGAAAAAAAAGGTGATAAAACTGTCAAATCTATTTAAATGTTTACAGTGATGTATGTTGGGGGTCTCCTGGGACAAAGTACAGGTGGGAACCAGAAATGAATGTTGTGATTGCGAACTAGTGGGAGCTAGTGTGTGAAATGGACATTAACTGAATAACCGCCCAACATGGAAACAATTTTATTGGGAAATAATTGTTAGATACTTCAGAACACCATGTATCATTTCAAAATTTGATTAGGCTAAAACAAATTTGTGCTGAAGACAATGTGGACTTGTTGGAGATCACTCATGTTTTGGGATTACCCAAAAATTAAATCATTTTGGGAAGGAATTAGAGAGGAAATTTAAAATATTTTACACAGTTATACATAATGAAATTCCCTTGCGTTTGTTCTGGGAGTGCTCAGGTGAGTGATTTAAGTAAAGAACAATAGTACCTGCTTGGCATCCTTTTACTGATAGCAAAAAATCATTACTGTATGTTGGTACAAACCTTTACCCCGTACTGTTAATCAATGGAGAGAGAGAACAGTGAGGGTTTACACTATGGGAAAAATAAAGCTAAACCTACCCATTGATTTACTTAAGAAAAGGTGGAATCCATTGACAACATATCTGGACCTAACATTGTAGCTTGAAAATTTAATGTAGATATACATATATGTTCTTTGTGTGCATGTTTAACAAGGAATATCTTCCCTTTATGTTTGTAATATTTATTTTAACTCCACTGATCAGTAGAGAAAAGATTCATTGGGGTTTCTGGATTTTCATGTTCAACTGATTTGTTTGGTCGAAATTGATGATTTCGAAATTGATAATGTGCTAAAGACCCAGTTTGAATTGAGAATGGAACATTTTTATAAATAATAAAATGCAGCCATGTTAAACAATGATTTTTTTGTATAAAGATATATTTGAGAATGCAAAACCATTAATGAAAACTGTACATTACATTTTTGTTTATGAATGCATTAAAGTAAATCCGATCAACTGAACTCACTCACATAGTACAGAATAGCACAAATCAAACCCTCAAATCCAATCTCACTACAATGTTTGGGAAGGGAGTCCATGTCCAGTCAAATTCTCTTAATATCATCCATACTGAACGGAGAATTTCTTCAGGGAGGCAGAATGACAACAGCTCATAGATCCATGTTTCTGGTTCGGAGGCTCCACAGATTTACAGTTTTTAAGGATGATTTTATTTTGTACCAAATAGTCCAGCAAAAAGAAATATCACTCAAGGAAAAGATTTCAGGGATGCACATCTCTAAGTATCCAAATGTCAAGGTAAAAATGATCCCATTCAACAAAGTACACAAACAAACAAAGCATAGCTCAAGGAAAATGTTCCAGGGACGCACATCTGCAAGTATTCAAATTTCAAGATCCAAATTATCACATTTAAACAACTTAAATTAAACGCTTTCTCCACCTTATAGACAAGAAAGCCCTCCAGTGTATAACTCCAGTTTTCATCTAAATGACTTTTATAATGAACCTCAACAGGGACATATATGGGAAAAAGTTCTACTGCTTTTCACCTGTGTGACGCCTGGTGTGCAGAGTTAAACTAAGTTTGTGACGAAAACTTTTTCCACAGGTCACACATGAAAACGGCTTTTCACCTGTGTGAATTCTCATGTGCAGAGCTAAATTCTGTTTTTGATTAAAACCTTTTCCACAGTTCGCACATGAAAAAAGCATTTCGCCAGAGTGAATCAACATGTGCAGAACTAAATTCCGTTTCCGACTAAAACTTTTTCCACAGGTCTCACATGAAAATAGCTTTTCACCTGTGTGAATAATTATGTGCCGATTTAAATGATATTTCCGACCAAAACGTTTTCCACAGGTCACACATGAAAACGGCTTTTCGCCAGTGTGAATCCTGATGTGCTGAGTTAAATCATGTTTTAGACTAAAATGTTTTCCACAGTTCACACATGAAAACGGCTTTTCACCGGTGTGAATCATCATGTGCCGATTTAAATCTCGTTTTACACTAAAACTTTTTCCACAGTTCATACATGAAAACGGCTTTTCACCTGTATGAGTTCTAATATGACTATTGAGAGCATGTATGACAGTGAAACGTTTTCCACAGGTCTCACATAAGAACAGTTTTCTTTTTTCCTGATTTTGGTTCTCAGCTTCAGCAGCTTCCTGGAAGATGACTTGGTTCCTGTTTGGTTCTGATTCAGTGTAGGATGTTTGCTCATCAACAGGAACCACCATGCAGGTATCAGGCTCCTGTTTTAACTGAACCTGTTCTTCACCCTGACTGCAGTAAACTTCGTTCTTTTCCACTTTTATCTGCTGGTGTTCTAGATCCTCCTGCTCTTTTGTCTGATGATCTTCTGGTTCTTCCTGTTGTTTCACCTGAAGAGGCTCTAACTCCTCCTGGTCCAGAGTGGATCTCCTCTCCTGCTTATAAATGTTATACTGGAGACAATCTGGACAAGAAAACAGAGAAAAAGAGCGATTGAAAAAGAGCAACTTTGACATCCACTGGATTACGCAATTACTAAAATATTTGTTTACACCAGCCATACTTTGAATTATATTAAAATTTTATTTTAGTCCACTTTATATCTTTGGGGTCTATTTACAAACATGAGTTTATTTGTAGGTTAGTAGTTGTTTAGTTTTTGTTCTTTTGTTATGTACTTTTCTAAGTTGGACAGGAAGAAATGTGGGTCCATTATCTGTAAGTACAGGGACTGGTATGGGACCAGCATGCACTGGGTTGGGCCTGTGGGTAGACAGGCTAAAGAAAAGAAAAATAAAAGGATGTGAAAACTTCACTCAAATGTAAATAGTGCTTTTCCTCAGCTTTTGTTTCATAAAGATCAGAGATCATAGTGATGTGCTGGGAAATGTAGATGATGGGTTATTAGTGTTTAAATTGCCCAGACTGATCATCCTGGAGCTCCAAACAAAACCTAAAACAGGAGCTGTGTGGTACCGGTCCAGCTACGGTCATCCTTCAGTCGAGCCGCCCACTTTGTGAATGCGCCTTATGGTCAATTTAGAATAAACGTCCACTTTGCCACTCAAGGGTCTCTGACACGCTGTCAGTCTTTAAATCCTTGCTGGACGCGCTACTGTTCAGACAGGCATTTGCACAATCTCTTTATGCATTTATTTAATTGGAATTTTTTTTTCTTTAAAATGTATTATTGTTTTTGTGAGGGAACCTTGTGCCATGAAAGCACATTTTACATAAATTATAGAGTTATTATTATAAATACTCATACTGCTAAAAACAAGAACGTTGCCATGGTTACTGCTTCGTGTGGTGGGAGACTTTCAGGTATTTATACTAATTTACGTATTTATAGGTGGTGGCAGGGCAGACCAGCAGCTGTGCTCAATTTCACGCAAAAAGCGTGAGCACGGCTTTATGCATCAGATTTTTTTTTGTGTGCCGCACTTTTGTAAATGTAAAAACTGCGCACTCTTATGCACGAGGCCCTAGGAGAGGAAACGATGAAAAATAGTGATGGTGAGCGTTGTAATGCGTATTTTCTTTTTTAGATTATTTCAGATTACGTTTTACGTGTCAAGTAGTTCGACCCAATGTTAGCAATAGCTCATGTCTACGTTAGCTAAGTCCTCCATTAGTATCACGCCTCGGTACAGTTTAAAACGGTATCTTCCTGGCCCATTACAGCCATGTCTACGTTTATCACCATGCTCAGCTATTTTTATGATGCCGACAAGAATGTAGGCTTAGGTGACGTCTTTTATTAATTTTTATTATAATTAATTTTATTAATTGTCTGGCAGATAATTAATAAAATATTCCATATTTAATTTCTATATGTCCTTTTTCAACTATGCAATTTATGAAGTGAAACATTTAACACAGTGAAATGTGGAAAATACATAAATTTTTCGATTTACAAGATATTTTTATATTTATGATTCCAAAACTTTTACCAACTCAGGTGTTGATTGATCTGTATAATTGAGATTTTTTTGTTGTCTCAATAGCAGATAGTTGGAAACATGGCTCATGCCTTGGCTATAGCACTCACAAGGGAACTTGTGGGAAATACAAGCTCTCCCTCAGCAAGTTCATGCCCTAATAACGGCAACAATTCTGACCCTTTGGCTTCAAATTCTTCAACACGGGTCAACCAGGCATTAAAACGGTAAGATTTGATTTTCTTTTTAAAATTGGAAACAAAGTAGATAGCAGTTATGTGTTTATTTCATATATGTTTTTTCATTGTTGGTTTTAGTAATTTATGGACTCTGCCTTGACTGGATCTTTTGTCTCAAAATATTATCTTTATTCTCAAAGGCAATTTCCAAATCTGTTTCAAAAGTCAGACCTGAAAAAAGGCAAAAAATCTCCAACATTGGAATATACGTATTGCCAGGCCCCACCAATCTAACCCCAAAAAATTCTGATGAGCTTCCCTTAGCACATGCAGGGTTAGGGAGAAGGGTGCTTTCTTTTTCTGATGACAGCAGGCATGAGGAGGTAATAAAGGAAAATAATTATCAGTTACTCATAATATTTAATGTCTAATTTATTTTGTATTGGTGTTCTTATAGTACTATGCATTGTATGTAACACATTGTCAGTCAGTTGGAGGACGAGTTTATCAAACTAAAAGAACTGAAGGGAAGATGGATGTTCCATAAAGCATCAGGTTAAAATGATTCCTCTTTAATAAGATTGTTCATATTTATTTTGATTTGTAAAATGTTCAGGTTGCACCATTAAATGTATATCTTTATTTATCTCAGGTGGAGGTGGTCAAAGGAAATTGTCAATAATCCCAATGGATGCAGAAGGGTACAGCGGCAAGCTGCACCGTTCGGCTTCAAATAATGGGAAAATAGTCCTCTTCCTGGTGCCCTTCCAGGAAGAAATGGACACAAGTCCACTACCGTTTGATGCTGAGGAGTTTGCCAAAATGCCTCAGGTGCCCTGTGTGACTTGTGGTATTAACAATGCCTCTTCAGATGCTGGCGTTACATGCTGGGTCTTGTGGAAAAATTACAGAAGTTGTCCTCATTTCCTCCCTAACTTAATCAATCAACATTACTATGTTGAACTCCTTGATTTTAATATCTATGTTTATATATACACACACACACACACACGCCTGTGGCAATACTGGCATTAATGTTTCACAATTTAAACAGAATCGGACTGATCAGTCTGAACCTATAGAGGTTGATGAGGATGACTGTGACACATTGGAGGAGCCAGAAGACACAATTGAAGATTTGGATGAAAGAGAGGTATTTCTACATGACATGGAATCACTATCCACAATTGATCCTGTTAAAAATGTTGCACACAAACTAATTTATTTTTAAAAAATAAAGCAAATAACTTCTAATATTCTTGCAAAAAATATATTTTTTAATTTTTATTATTTTGAAAAATTAATTTTCTGTACAGTGCTGCCCTATCTGCCAGAGGGATTTCTCGAAGTCTATGCTTCCTTATCATGCCAGTGACTGCTGTGACAGGTATTGGTGTATAATTTTTTTTCTTTAGGAAGGTAGACGGATATATGTTTATGTGAATAGGGCATGTAATGTAAAATGAGTAATGAGTATTCAGACATATAAAAAGAGCTTTACAACTACATTTACTTTAAAAATTTAGCCCTAATATTTGAAAACATTTTCTATCACTGTTTCTGTAACATAGCTGGATGTCGTTTCCTATCACATAAATCAATTTTTTTTCCTTCAGCAGGGAGGGAGTATTGGAAATACACCCAGATATGCCAGGACCATCATCAGCAACTTCAGGGACTTCTTATTCTGCAGAACCTAGAAGTACTGAAGGTATCATACTATAGTAAATAAGTCTGAAAAACATGTGATCCTGGATGTTGTTGGGCAGGTTTGCTGTATATCTGTTGTATAGGATGGTAGAAGGGGGACTGCCATGCCGTCTTCTTTGAAGCCATGGATTCTCCCACCACAGACTAGTAGTCCAGTCTCTACCTCTCCGTACACCACCAAGTGGTCTGTAGTGGTAGCTGGAAGGGTCACTCCCTCTTGTGCAGCCAGACAGATGTCTCTAAAAGCATCTTGACGTTCAAAAACAGTGATGACCCCACTTGTTGGCACTGCCTCCCACTTTGGTGTCTTTATGGACTTGTTTCCAGATATAAATTTTCTGGTAGCTCTCCATATGAAAGAAACAGTCTTGACCAGACACATTAGGCTATTAAAGTGGCTTTCATCCACCAAGTTTTTACAGCTGCCCCAGCAGGTGGTCTCCGCTCAGAGCTTTGTTCCGAAGTTTGATCTTTCTTGGCTTGGGGTCTGGTCAGTGCTGCTACAAATGACTTCTTTTGCATATTATTAATGCTTTCTTAAGCTGCAGTAGACACCTCTTTTGCAGACATAATGAGCCACTCACACTCGGGGAGGTGTAGGAACTTTGGTCCTTCCTGCCACTCTGAATTAACATCAAGTTCTTTTGGTCCAGCTCCACGAGTGATAATGTCGGCTATGTTGAGTTGTCCAGGGATCCACCACCTGTCTTGTAGCCGTGTACTGCTTTGCATTTCTCCTATCCTATTAGCGAAGAAAGTTCGAAATCCATAACTCTCACGCTGAATGGCTCCAAGAATTGTTTGGCTGTCCAATAAATGGTACCACTTGCTGATCTTGATCTGGGCATGCTGCTCAAAGTATTTTTTAAGAAGACTTGCAAAGACCGCACCACAAAGCTCTGCTTTGACTGCATCTCCTTTCTGGTCTAGAGGCGTCAACTTTGCTTTTGACTCTACTAATCGAACATTATTTGTTTGCAGCAGTTCCACCGTAGGTAGAGAACAGCACCATATGAGCTTTCACTGCCATCTGAAAAAGTGATTGCAATGGGTTCAGTAGTGACATCTGGAGGAGTAAGGGCTCTTGGAAATGCAATTTTACTTAGCTGTACCTACTCTTCAAATAGATCAACCGCATCTCTGTGGAGCTCATCAGATAAGGCAAGGTCCCATGTGTCTTTGACAATGTTACACTTTGGTTTCGCCTCCTGCAATGCTCTTCGGACCAAAATAGCCCCTTTGATGGAGTTGTCAGGCCGATTGGGTCATATAAACCAGCTATTTGACTCAACAGCTCACGACGTGTCAATGGGTCTGGTGTTTTTAGCCGTACCTCTTCTAGCAGTATATCTTGACCCAGTCTAATTTTTTTTTTCTTTCTCGGAGAAATAAATTCTCACCATGACATGCAACTTGTCTTCATTTGCGATGTAACCAAGGCCAAGTGCCTTATTGTTTTCCTCCTTCAGTTGATTCGGCAGAACAATCATCTGTGGTGATGTCTCTAGTTTCTCTTCCTTATTTTGGCCAGAGAAGACCCACGGCTTCAGCTCAGATCCTCCTGCTTTTAGAATCAACTCTACATTCTTTGTGATGTCCTTAAGTCTTTTGCGGGAGTTGTGGGATGTTATGTCGTCAACATAGCTGTGCTCATGTAATACTTGACACTCATCTTTCATGTGGTTGAACTGAGGAAGGTTAGCCGTCTCTCTCATGGCGAGTTGGGCTATACAACCTGCTGGTTTGTCCCCAATGTTTACCCGTGTAATTGAAAACTCTTCCAGCTCCTCATCCACTGAATCACGCCACAAGAAGCGGTGCAGATGGACCTCTCGCTCCTCAAGGCATACAGAATTATACATTTTCTTGATGTCTCCCAGAGCAGCAAAAGTGCCCTGACGGAACTTGAGGAGGACAGCTCAGATGGAATTGAGAACATCAGGACCTTTCAACAGCAGATCATTTAGACTTTGGCCTTTATACTTTTGACTACTGTTCCAGACTAGTCTCACTGGACTTGTAACAGAGTGCAGGTTAGGAGCGATGAGATGGCTTATGTACCAGACAGGTCCTTTCCAGGTACTTAAATCCTCTTCAGTCAGCTTTTTTGCAGCCTGACGGTCAACCATTTCATGAACTTGAGCACTGTAAGCCTTTTTCCATTGTGGTTCCTTGGCCAGTTGTCTCTCCGTTCTGAGAAAGGTTGCCTCCACTGCTTTTTTGTTATTTGGCAATGTGGAGGGGTCCTCAAGCCATGGATAGCTTGCATGCCAATGGGGACTGTCACTGTGGTCATCAGCCTCAGCATATCTCAGTCCACTCTTCACCACTTTTAATTCCCTTTCTTCTGCCAAGGTCATTTCTTTACCACCGGGCTGGCAGTTGCCACAGCGGCAGCCTCCGCATTTTGGGGTGCAAGCAGCACCAATGCTGTCCCACTTCCACCATTCAAGAAAATCACGAGTGGTCACAGCAGAGCTAAAATGCTTGGTGGTAGATGAGGAGCATACATGCTCTTTATACATCACTGCAGCGGTTCTCATTGATCTGGCGAAGTGGGTTCTAGATTGGTGTGCTGTGAATGTAGCATCTTCAAACAGCCCAGGGTATGTTCCTGCGACTGTCTTTCCCAATGGTCCATCCCATAATACAAGATCTCCAACAGCACGTATCTTCTGTGGAACCAGCCGACCTTCTTTATGACTTAACAGCTGTATCTTTTTTGGTCTCACAAGTTCACTGAGGGGAACGTCTGGGAAGAACTTTTGAAGTGCTTTCTCAGTTACATATTGATGGATGTCTGCAATGTTGTCCAAACCATAGCAGAGGAGTTGGTGGGACCTGAAGTTCCCCTTTTCTGTCTTGACCCGGATCTTTAGGAGGTACCGTCTTGTGGTAACTTGAACTTTCATTCCTCCCACACTGTGGACAACCAGGGTTATGGCTTCACTCCTCAGGTTTAATTGATCAGCTGCAGAATGTGTTATATAGTTGGTATCTGATGCTAGATCAATTAGAGTCCCAATCTTTTGTCCTGCATTGGCTGTGACCTCTAATAGCATCATGATGACAGGCCACTCCACCAAACCATTCTTTGCCAGAAGGTTGGGCTGACTGGACACAGATGTTTTAGCCACTGCATTACAGAAGACATGACGACACTTTTCTGCCTGTTCAGGAGGGAGGCCTTTAATGAAATCTTCTTGGGCTTGGGTGTAGCGTCCTGCTACATCCCCTCCCACTGCAGTGTCTTTGCGCCTCTGGATTGAATTCTCTCTGGACACATCAGCTCTTGGACAGAGATAATAATGGTGCTCTGCAGTGCGTTGCTCCTTGCTGTCTGGCCTTCTGCACAAAAATTCAGTTTTACAGTTCTCATACTCGTTGTGAATCTCCAGACACTTTTTGCAGGCCCCCAAGTTTTTTAACAGCTTCCTTCTTTTCTGACAACTTGAGCATACGAAACTTTTTACAGAAATACAGCCTTTTCTTATGCTTCTCGTCTCCACAAACCACACATCCTTGAGACATGTCTGTTGGCTGAATAGAAGTTCTGGTCCAGGCTTGACGTGGTTCAGACCTTGGTTTTGACTCCTCGTCCTTCAATTGATCCAGCTTTTCATAAATTGCTTCTTGACCTTGAAGAAATTTCAGGAGGTAGTCAAATCGTTTGTCTTCTTCAGCCTCAGTCCCTTTGCTGGCTATATGGAGAAGCCATTCCTTCTTCAGGCTGTCTGGAAGTTTACTTTCTATTGCTTTTGTTATAATAGGGTTCTTTATAGCAGCAGTTGCACCTAGTTCTTTGAGATCTATCAGAGCTTTTTCTACAGTTTGAATTAGCTCAACAATCTTCTTGGGATGGTTCCCTTTAACTGGTGGAACCTTTTGAAGCTCCTCCACTATTTCAAGGAAAATAGTTGTTTTATTTCCAAAGCGATTCTCTAGAACTCGGAATATCTCATCAGCTGTTGTGTAAGTTGTGAGACGATGGTCTCGTACTATTTTCTCATCCACACTGTCGAGAAGATGATATTTTTTAATCTCTTTTGATCCTGTAGGTTCTCCCTGCATCTGGAGTGCTTCCCAATCTTTTTTCCACTGATGAAACTCTCTATGAACTCCAGTGAACTTTGGCAGAGCAGCAGGTTTTAATTTAATGGCTGGTGCCACAGGAAAACTCATAGAAGTGCTTAACCTTTTGGTCACATCTTTGGTTTGCTCTTCAATAAATTCCGCTTTTCTTAATGTTAATTTTGGTAATATGGTCTCAAGAGCTCTGATACGACTCTGAAACTGATGTTGCTCTGCATGAGGAGCCCAGCACCTCCAATGTTTATGCACTGCCTTTGCTGTCTTTACTAGATTTTGCAGATGTTCTATTATGAACCCATATGCATCTACATTTATACTTGGGTTTACAGTGTCCACCTGATCTGCATGTGACTCTGCAGTTATAATGGCTCGTGTCACTTCATATTCCCCAAAACTTTCCCACAATGTCTTTTGTATTAGGTTTTTTAGCTCTTGCTTCTTTTTCTCACATTCTTTGGTTGTTTTATCTAAATCAGCCTTTTATTGTTCACTTAACACCTCTGGATCTGAATTTTCAGCAGTGTATTGTTCTGCAACATCATCATTGGCTTCAAGAACTTTACTGGCTTCTGCTGTGAGCTTTGCAAAGTTGTCCCTGAGCTCTTCCTCATCATTGTGTGCATTCGTAGTACATTATTGGCTAAACGGGAGAATTGACCCTTCACAGTTGTTCTAGCGCTCTTCAGCTGCTCCAACACTACTGAGTCAGCCATTTTGATGTAAGCAGCAGGGCAAAAGAACAATCTTGATTGTCTCTTTGTGGACACGTTTGGTCCAACCAACAAATTCTTAATGTCCCTCCAGTCTTTAGACTGCGGTTTTTCAGGTTAGGTTTACTGTGCGATTCCCCACTTGAAAGGGATAGTTTCCACTGTGAAGTTTGAACTGGATTTTACTCAGAGCCTTTAATTTAGTTGACTCATCTTTATTTTTCGTATGATGGTCCACATAGCACATAACCCATAGAATGTAGTTGAAAAACCTCAAAAGAAACAGAAACACATCTATTACATTCTGAAATTAACAAGATAAATACATTGTGAATAATCAGATTTCTACCAGTTATTTCAAAAGTATAATAAATATTTTATAGTAAAATTCAACAGCAATAAATTAGCATTTTTATCAACATTTTGTTAAATATTTTCACAAACATTCTGACCAACATTTTTTTTCTTTCTACTTTAACCAATAAACACCAAGTGTATTTTTTCTTCTTTTTAACTTACTAGCTTGACTTCAATAAGATTAAACAATTTGATACAACAATCAGAGTTCATTTGCTACTCCAATGAAATTCAGCAATGAGCAACAGCATTGTGAGGCTTACCGGCTGTCTTTCACAGTTTGTAGAAACTTTTACACAGTTCTGAATCTACATGCTACCAGCACTGTCTGCTTCTCATGCTCTCAAACAGGAGTGACAGGTCAGTCAGCCAAAAGTAGCTGCACTCTGATTGCTAGGAGATTGAGTCCACCTGGTTCTCCTCACCAACAGGGAGAGAAGAGCTGCAGAAAGGTGCAGCAAAGGGGAGTGGCAGAGGGGAGTGGTTACCTAGCAGTTCACCAGAACATTCCAAGAAAAGCCTCGACGCATGAGATTGAAGAGTGGCGCCGTGAAGTGAACCTCTACTTTCATATGCATCATATAGTGTAATGCATAAGTTATCTAAAAACAGATAACACTCAATGCTTTTTTTATTGATTTACTGCTAAATGCAGCAGTAGCGTTGATGCCCACACAAACATTACTCCAAGTTACAATGAAGGAATGACGCACAATGTTCTTCACTGCAGTTGTTATTCATGTGAATTTTACTTGTACTGCATTTCTACTTTTAAGTTGTGTTGTAGAAAGATTTCCGTACTGCTATATTACTCAATAAAATAAAATATATAAAAATGGACAATTGTGATGAAAAACTATAACGTAAACAAATTCACAGACATTACTCCTTCAAATAACTTTTTATCTTTTCCTCCAAAAGCTATTTCTTATATGCATTTGATGATGCCTTTATTCATGTTCTGTTTATTGCATGCTTCTTGTTTCAACTTTTATTTATAACTCAGGATGTAGGCTACATTTTCATATTTTTAGAATGATCATTGTATTTTAATAATAGATTTTCATGCTTTAGTCATATTTATATAGTTGTCCTTTTATCTTTTCAAAGGGAATGACCTCTTCTACATACGACAAAAAGGCAGGCGGATCCTCAACAAAGGTCAAAGTAGTTAAAGGTGCTGAGGAAGCCGAAACAAATATTTGTTGACTTTCATACCAGCCCTACAGGTGCACATTGTGGCCAATTAAAAACAGATGCAATCTCAAGGAGAGTTTATTGGCCAGGAATGTCTGTGGACATCAAGAAATGGGTATGTTAGCACAGGACTAAGTAAAGAATTTTCTTTACCAATACCAAATACATTTAAATTTTAGGAAAAGAAATGTGTAAACCTTATTTGTGTTACCAATATGAAACTACAATTGTCCAATAATGTCAACTTTGCGTGTGTTAAATTCTTGTTTGTTTTTGTCTTTCACTAAGTTCCCAGGTCTCTGAGTGCTCATCCTGTCAGGGTAGTGCCCAAGCATTGAACAGCTATCAGAGTAAACTCCCATAAAGGTAAAGTAATTCATTGTGAAAATAAACACTTTTACTGAGACTACTATGTAGTCTCAGCAGTGGTTGGTTGTCCTGTTTTGTCTGTTCTCACAAAGGGTCAATATTTGGAACAAGTAGATGTATAAAATTAAGGAATGTATTTTTAATATACTAAACATTTTACAATACATTGATAAGCTATTATTTTTAGCTTAATAAAATACTGCTTTTGAAAATATTCTTGTCTTCTATTATTTTTTTATTTAATAATCTATTAAGTCTTTCATTTAAGACGTTGAACTAATTGGGATGGACCTCATTGGAAAACTTGCTGAAACAAAATCTGGACACAAATATATTTGTGTCATGATTGACTATTTCACAAAGAGCCACAAGCTTATCCACTGAAGAACAAATCGGCACCTGAAGTTACGGAATGCATAATTACGTTTGTGCATCAGTTTGAGGCCCCAAAAGGGATTTTGACAGACCAAGGAAGAGAATTTGTAAATTCTGTAAGTATTTGTTTTCAATATCTTAGAGAAATTTAACACTATGAATGTCCTCCTTTACACCATTTGTTTCGATATGCTGTTTAAAGCAGGTTATTTTGTTATAGCTATTTGTTCGTAAATTTTCAGATAAACCAAGAAGTGTGCAAAGTTCTCAATATTAAACGAAGTCTGTGTTCCCCATACCACCCCCAAAGTAACGGGTTGGCTGAAAAAATGAATGGGACCCTTCAAAGGTGAGTAC